ACTAAATTTTATTTAACTTGTTTTCTAATTTAATATTTATTTTTTTTAAGACTATATATGAGCTAAATTGTATTTAATTGTTAGGGGATTTAAGTTAAGCTATTAAATAAGTTTTTTATATTTTTTATTTAATTTTTTTCTGGTGAGTTTTGGTAAGATTTGGTAGTTTTGTATTTAAATATTTTGTTTTAATATTAATTATTATATGTACTATAAACTATAAATATATAAATTATTTAATTTTTTTTGTGTGTTTTTTTTTTTTTTTTTTTTGATTGAGGAGGGATTAGAATCATTCACATATGATTTTGTTCAAATGTAACAACACTTGAAATTTATTTGGCCCAGTTTTATATTTTTCGAGGTGATTTTTCTTCTTCAAAGAATGAATGGTGGGTGGTAAATTTTTTGATTGGTGGTTGATCACAGATATAGGGAATCGGTTCTTTTTTCATAGGGGTGGGCGGCTAAAGAAATTCAAGTGTTGTTTCGTTTAACCAGAGATATTACACCAGCATATTGTTTATTAATAGCGGTTTAAATTCTCATATATATATTTTTTTTCTTCTGGATGCTATTTCGATTTGCTATATGATGTTTTGCTAAGCAGAGAATTTTTTTTATTTTCAAGCAAAACCATAAAAAAATGAAAAATTTGGAAAAAATTAGAAATTAAAAAAATAATAGTTCGATTTTAATTGGTTATCATAAAAAAGCTTTAACGGATTAGAAAGCTGGTTAAAAAAGTTGATTTCTAGAAACTTTTTTGAAAACAATAACTTGCATAATATTCTGGTTAAACTATTTGGAGGTGGGGGCGAGGAAAGGGGAACATTAGGGAGCATGGGAAATTAGCATGTTTTTTTATCTTGGCATTTAACTTAAGTAGTAAGCAGCTAAGTGGTGGTTTGGATTTTTTGGGGCTGGGTAAATGTTGTTTTTTTTTTTTTTTTTTTTTTTTGTATTTTTGTTGTAATACAAATTTTATTCCGTCTACAAAGTAAGGCCCACATAAACGGCAAATTGGCAATGTACACTCCCACTTTTGACTTCATTTTTTGTTTTGTTTTCAATCATTTGACCACTGCGTGTGTAAACTACTCTTATTGAAATGTTATAGTTGATTTTTTTTGTTTTTTGTAATTTTTTTTATTGGTGGGTTTTTTTGTTGTTGTTGTGATTTTTTTTTGTGGGTTTGGAGATTATTGTAAAAATAAGTAGTTATTTTTTTTTAAATATATAAAATAAAATATTTTTGGTTATACATTGAAAAATTAAGTAGGTTTTTGTTTAAATATTTTTGGTTTATATATATAAAAAAAGAGAAGAGTTAAGAAAAGGAATTTTTTAATACAAAAAAGAAAATAAAAACGAAAACCAGCGAAAATAAAAATGTTTTTTTTAATAAATAATATTATTAAAAAAAATTATCTCCTATTATAAAATAAAAATTGCATTTAATTTTCTTCTACAAATAAATATTTTATAAGCAATAATTTTGTATATATATAGTAAAGGAAAAAATATTACAAAATTGATTTATATTAAAAAAAAATAGTTTTAAATAAAAAATAATAATAGTTAAAAAAATAAATATTAAAAAATAAATTTATATGAATTTAATAATTTCAAATGAGGATATAAAAATTGTCTGCTATATTTAACATTTTTGTAAAGAGAAAAAAAATAATATAAAATAAATATATAGTAATTATTAATAAATTATTTAAATTAAATATATTTAAAAAATATATTTTATTTAATCATTTTTGTAAATAAAAAAATATTTTTATTTATTTATTTTTTAATCAAAATGCTATGCAATAAATATATTTATTTTATTAAAAATAAAAAAATGTTTCCCCATATAAAAATTATAAATAATGACAAATTAAACCAGTGAGCGGAGCAGTATAGTCGGACGGGGCCGACCATATAATACCCTACACAACTTCCACGAAAATCTAACTTTGCGTTATTTGCACCCTCTTGAAACCTGACTAGAGGTCAACATATTTTACTAAAATTCAGTAGACGAGGGCTGTACTTGTCCAGATTCTCTTTACCGTGGGTTATGTTGTGATGTTGGGCGTTCAATTGTGGTCTTTAGACCGACTCAAAAAAAACACAAAATGTTAAGTTGTCGGTCCACTTCATCCCAAAATTATTATCTGGTCATCACCGAAAGTTATAGGCGTTGTCCTTGACCATAACTGGAATCTCATGGAAAATTTCAATTCGATCAGCGCTATATTTCCGCCCTCTAGTGTGGTTTTGGGTTACTAAATAATGTCTGAATACGTAAGCACCTGTAAATATTTAAGTGTAGCTCCCACGTCTGAGTGCATACGACCATATAATTGGTATCAATTTAAAGGTCAACCACTCCTCTTGGATATACTATCAATTTCTCGGGTATATGTCCTTCACGGGACAAATGTATACGCCATAGAATACAAATTTTGTATTTTTTAACACAAAAGTCAGGATCCATTTGACCCGCTAAATATTGACCGATCTTTATCAAAACAGGCATGCTTATTCTTTGGTCCGATCCCCTTCTCCATGCAAAAATTCGCGGTGTTTCAGCCATAATTGCAGCCTCTGGAGCGACCAGGAAATCAGACAAAAATAAAGTTTTTGGTCCATTTCATCCTCTAAATATTAAGTGATCTTTTCCCAAAACAATAGGGGTCTTCCCTGGCCAGAACCAATTCTACATGGAAAATTTCGTGAAGATTTGTCCATAACTGTGGTTTGTATCGTGTTTACAAATTATAATGGACAGACGGACAGACGGACGGACACACATGTCTAGATCCACTCAGCTAGTCGAGATATGACGATCGGTATACTTAAAGGTGGGTCTAGGACCAATATTTCGCGGCGTTACAAACTTTTGCGGCTGCACTAAGCTATAATAGCCTGACAACATAGTTGTGTAGGGTATAAAAATGATCTCAGTTTGGTCTGCAGTTATTTGAAATAAACATATCGAACCCCACATGGAAAAATAATCTACAGTGAATACTTTTGGAAAGTTACCTAAAACCCTAAATGTAAAATAGAGAATATAATAATTAAGTGGACTAATGTTTTCTAAGGAAATTTTATAACCCACGGGTATCAGAACTTCTAAATTACAGCCACTTTTGATGGAAATGCATTACAAAGTTATCCACATAGGGATATTTTTGCATTTCCAAGGACCTCAAATATCAATTTTTATTAAAATGAAGTATAATTGACGTCAGTGCGTAAGAGTGCTATTCATACGCCACATTTCTTTTTATTAAGACGAAAGAGCACCTAAAACTTCTACTGAAATGAAAAACGGACTAATTTTTTCTCAGGAAATTTTATAACCCACTTGGTATCATTAATTCTAAATTACAGCCACTTTTGATGGAAATATCTTCCAAGGTTATCCACATATAATTTCGTGCAGATCGGAAGATATATAGGGACTTTGGTACACCTTTTACATAAAATCGGACGAAAATACATATGGGAGCTATATCTATCTGAACCGATTTTCACGAAATTTAACACACATTTTTCTAGCCTTAATTCAATACGCTATGCCAAATTTCGTGCAAATCGAAGGACTTCCGTGCACCATTTACCTAAAATCGCACGAAAATATATATGGGAGCTATATCTAGATCTGAATCCCAATTTCAATAGGGTTCGTCCTTGGGCCAAATAAATAAGCTGTACAAAATTTCATCCAAATCGGATTATATATGCGACCTGTACTTTGTTTTCAATTTAACATCAACAGACAAACGGACAAACAGGCGGACAGACGGACAGACGGACGGACGGACATGAATAAATCGATTCAGAAAGTGATTCTATGCATATTCTCAAATGGAACCATGTGTCTATCTCGTTTCCTTTTGCCTGTTACAAACATATGCACAAAGACATACTACCCTGTACCACAGTGTGGTGAAGGGTATAATAAAAAAAATTATATAAAAAGAAAAAAAAAACAAAACAATCATTATTTTTATTTAAGAAAATTTAAAAATAATGGGAAAAATATTTTTTGAATGATGAAAATATAGAAAAAAAATACATTTTAAATATTTCTCTCCTAATAAAAATGTTAAATATAGCAAAACTGAAACCAATACATAGGGTAGAAGAAGTGAGCCAATTTTTTATCAATCAAAAAAAAAAAACTTTTTAAAAGTAAATATTATAAATAACACATTTAAGGTACAAAAAATTTAAATTAAAAACAAATAAATAAGAATATTTAAAAAAATATAAAAGCAAATATTTTTATTAAAATAATAAATAATATTTCTCTATTTTCTAATAACTAAAAAAATTATAGTTGCTCAGTTTTTTTTTATTTTACTATACAATACAGTGCAGCAGATAAAAATAGAACAACACAAAATAAAATAAAAAAAAACTAAGACTGAACAGTAATTTAAGCGAGTTTTTTACAAGTTGTTTTTTAAGAATATTTTTTAAATAAATATTTTTTTTAATTAAACAATATTATATAAAATATTATACAGAAATTATATTGGACAATGTTTTGGGCTTACCTTTTTCAACCATGATTTTTTTTTCCTTCAAAACCTTAGAATCTTCAGTTTTTTTCTCAGAAAAATTATTAATAGTGATTTTTGGTTTTTAAAAACTTAAAACTATTTTTTTTATAATTAACTTAGAGAGATGCTTAATTAATAAAATATTGTTATAAATATATTTTTTTAATTTTTTTAATTAATACCTAGAGAATTTTTTCTTATTAAAATTATTATTTTTTGTTATAAATTATAGAATATATATTTTTTATATATAATATAAATAATATTTATTTGTAATATATAATATAAATAATATTTATTTTTTATATATAATATAAATAATATAATATTTTTATATATAATATAAATAATATAATATTTTTATTTATAATTATTATTATTTTTTTTTTTGTAAAATTTCCTTATCTCTGTACAATTTGAACTTACCTGTTGTACATGAGCACATCGGGTTTCCATAATTTATTTGGTGTTATTCGCAAATCTTTGACGCCACCATATTCGGAATCATTCCATCGCAGATTGTAGTCGTTCCACTCCTTTTTTTGTGATTAATTTTTTGATGCAATTTTTTTAATTGCAATTTTGGTTGTTGTTATGATTCCAAGCAGCATTGAAAATTTGTTGTAAATTTTGAAAAATAAATAAAAAAAAAATATTTTAATATGAAATTAAAAAATATATATTTTTTCTTTCAGTGTATGTGTTTGTGTGTAAAGGCGTAAAGGAAACTTTTTGACAAAAAATAGAAACAATGGAGGCCTTGGAGTAGTTGTATTTTTAGATAATCACCTGAGATATATTCTATTCATAGAAAGCCTTTGAGGTACATAGGGAGCTCTTGGAGTAGTCGTTCTTGTATAGAAGGTCTTCAACAGATACCTTTGGATGAGTATTCTATCCACAGAAGACCTTTGAAGTGGATTACTATGCATAGAGGGCCTTTGCAGGTAACTGCCTTTGGATAGGCCTTCCCTATCATACCTTAGGTAAAATATCTTTGTGTATGTCTTATATATTCGGAAATGTTTTCAATCTGCAGAAGACCTTTGTATAGGTCTATTATGTTGATAAGAGAATTCTAGAGGTATTCTATCCTACAGTGAGACATATTTTTCTATAGAAAATCTTTATGGGAGGATCTTCTTCTATAAAATACTTTTGGATGGGTATTCTTGGGCATTTGGAGGTGACTTCCTTTGGATAGCCCTTTCCTCCCATCCCTTAGGTAAAATATCTTTGTGTAGGGGAGGATCTTCTTCTATAAAATACCTTTGGATGGATATTCTATCCACAGAAGACCTTTGAAGTGGATTACTATCCATAGAGGGCATTTGTGTGTAAAGGCGTAAAGGAAACTTTTTGACAAAAAATAGAAACAATGGAGGCCTTGGAGTAGTTGTATTTTTAGATAATCACCTGAGATATATTCTATTCATAGAAAGCCTTTGAGGTACATAGGGAGCTCTTGGAGTAGTCGTTCTTGTATAGAAGGTCTTCAACAGATACCTTTGGATGAGTATTCTATCCACAGAAGACCTTTGAAGTGGATTACTATGCATAGAGGGCCTTTGCAGGTAACTGCCTTTGGATAGGCCTTCCCTCCCATCCCTTGGGTAAAATATCTTTGTGTAGGTCTTATATATTCGGAAATGTTTTCAATCTGCAGAAGACCTTTGTATAGGCCTATTATGTTGATAAGAGAATTCTAGAGGTATTCTATCCTACATTGAGACATATTTTTCTATAGAAAATCTTTGTGGGAGGATCTTCTTCTATAAAATACTTTTGGATGGGTATTCTACCCACAGAAGACCTTTGAGAAGTGTATTACTATCCATAGAGGGCATTTGGAGGTGACTTCCTTTGGATAGCCCTTCCCTCCCATCCCTTAGGTAAAATATCTTTGTGTAGGGGAGGATATTCTTCTATAAAATACCTTTGGATGGATATTCTATCCACAGAAGACCTTTGA